TGTGTGTGTGTGTGTGTGTGTGTGTGTGTGTGTGTGTGTGTGTGTGTAAAAATAGTAAGGCTCAGAGACAGATGGTTTATTCATGCTCTTCCCTCCAGAACCAACCCTGCCAACAAGGAATGGGCAATGATGAGGGGTGGGGGTGAAGTTACCTACAGTGGTCGGTGACCCATGTGGCCTGGCACAGGGAGTTCTGACCAACAAAGACGATGGGTAATAGCCAAGCAAAGCAGATTCCCTCGGGCGTCAGAAGTCTTCGAAATGCAGTGAATCGGTCCAGTGGTGGCAGAAACCAAAGTTGAGGGAGGCTGTTGCTCTGGCAGGGTGCACGTGCCTCGGGGGCACCACTGGCCCATTTGTGATTTCAGCTGGGAGATCGTGGAAGTTCTAGATCCGCAGAGGCCAGGAAGCAGCATGGCGTCGGCTGGTGATGGTAGGAAGGACGGGAGGGAATTCTAGATGTTCAACACAGAATTCCTGCTCTTTCTCAAACCCGAAATACCCACAGCCTTCCCCAGTGACCTGATAGTAACTCCACTTTCTAGTTGCTCAGGGCAAAGTCCTTAGAGTCATTTTGATTCTGTTTTTTTGTTTTTTGTTTTCCATATCCCACGCCCAACCCATCAGATAGTTCTGTTGACTTTATTCAAAATACAGTCAGAACAAGACCACCTTATGCCACCTCCACTACAGCCATCTGGTCTGAGCCACCAGCATCTTGAGCCTGGATTATCACACTGGCTTTTTTTTTTTTTTTAAGATTATATTATTAACTAATCTCCATACTCAACATGAGGCTTGAACCCACAACCGTGAGGTCAAGTGTCACATGCTCTACCAGCTGAGCCAGTCAGGTACCTCTACCAGACTGGCTTTTTAATTGACCAGTTCCCAACCAAGAGTGAGAGTGATTTGTTTAAAGTTGTATTTATTTATTTTAAGGGGGTGGGGAGGAACAGGGGGAGAGAGAGAGAGAGAGAGAGAGAGAGAGAGAGAGAGAGAATCCCAAGCAGGCTCCATGCTGACAGCTTGGAGCCCAATGTAGGGCTCGAACTCGTGAACTGCGAGATCATGACCTGAGCTGAAATCAAGGGTCAGACATTTAACCAACTGAGCCACCCAGGTGCCCCGAGAGTGATTTATTTAAAAATGTCAGATGTTTTTTTTGAAACGGCGCAGCTCTGCTCAAAGCCTTCCAATGGCTCCCCATTAAGAGCACCCCCAACCTCTCTGGCTTCATCGCCTACTTTTCTCCCCAGAATTCATACTGTTCCAGCCTCCTGAGCTTCCCTGCCTTCCCCAAACACCAGATGGGCAGACGTGCTCCTATCTCAGGCCTCTGATGTTCCCCTGCTCGGAAGGCTTTTCACCCCGATGTCTCTCTGGCTCACTCCTTAGCCTCTTCAAGAACCTTTCCAAACCTTGGCGAGGCCTTCCCCACCCCCAATTCCACGCTTCAGTCCTCCACCTTGCACTGCTTCTCCCTTCCCCTGTTTCTCTCCACTGTCTCTACTGCCCGCGAAGCTTCTACATACTCTATGACTTATTTGGGGTGCAGTCTGTCTCCCATGCTAGACTGTAAGCTCACGTGGGCAGGGATTTTTGTCAGTTTCAGTCACTGTGTATCCCCAGGACCTAGAAGAGGACCTGAGAACAAATGTTTGTTGAATGAATGAATGAACAGATTATTCATCCCACAAGAGAATCTCTCTCTTTCCAGAACCCCCAAAGACCTCGTTGACACCAAACATTCCCTTTCCAAGTGGCCCTGTGCCATCCACAGCTCCAGCCTCATCTACGGGGTGGATGTCAGAAGCAAAAGGAAGCTTCCACTGGTCCCTTTAGTTGGAACATTCTTATCCCTCCTGAGGTCACACACGGGACGCTCTAAGTAGTGTTAGTTGTCCAAGCACATATTTCAGATGATGTCTTCAGTAGCTTCCAGAGGGCAGCTGTCATTTCAGAAACAGCTCCCTGTGACTGGCATGTGACTTTTTCCCCCGAAAGATTTGCATCAGTGGGAAGGTAGAGGCGGTAAGAGAGAAGGGAGCAGGAAAGGAAAAAATGGAAGAAATGAGATCTCAGGACTGCATATGATTCTGGCGGGGAGCCCTTGGATGCAGAGGTAGAACACACAGAGTGCTTTGCCTCAGTGTCTGATAAAATGACCGCCGGAGAGAGCAGAAATGACGAGGAATCATTTGGGGGAATCCAGGCTGGCCCTTAGCCTGTACGAGGCAGATACGTGTATCTTGGATGCTCCGGACTAAAAACAAAACAAAACAAAACAAAACAAAACAACCCACATTCTTCACAGCAGTGGGTCAATCTTCATGCTTTGACTCCAAGATTTTAAATTTATTCTGCAGTATTTCCCATGAATGGTGGTTACATAATTTATATTTACTGAATTTAAGAACCCAGGCTCTATGACACATCCTAACACAATGTTAAGCCTCAGGTAGAGCACAGAGAAGTGTAGTCTTTTAGGCAAGGCAAGCTCTCCAACACACAAGTGCACGACTGAGTATTCCAAGCATGTGGCCACACCCAGCCGGGTCTCGGGGACCTGCCCTTCCCACTTTCACTGGACTTTTGATTAGTCGAGAAAGGTTTCATGTCAGAATACACATCATTGCCCATGGAAGCATTTGTCCCAAGCTGCCCCATGCCCTGAGTACTAAGAAAGATGGATACAGCAAGGGGTTCAGTTACTTGTTCTTTCCCGGTTCATGAAAGGTGGGGCAGGAGGCAGAACTATGTGTTGGTTTTCAACTGGCTCTTTCAGGTTGACAAAAAAATAAATAAATAAATAAAAAAAAAGTATGTGTGTCCGTGTGTGGCAGGGGTTAATACAAGGCTCTGATCTGGTGTAGTTAACTTAAGCACGCCGGCTCCCAGGTGCCTCTGACGGGAGAATGGATGCTGTCATTTCCTTGAACTTCCAGCACCCCTTGGTGGCTCCATTAGGGCTCAGTCCTCTCGTGCGGGGAGCGTGTGAGGCGACGTAACTGCACACGTGGTATAGCGGAGATCTCTGTTCTCGGTCTCTGAGGCCACGTGGACGTGGCTCGTTTCCTGTTAGAAAAGGGATGCTTTTCTTCGCCGTCTCATGGACTTTCTTACAAAGAAACTGTAGCCCAAAGAGGTTAAATGACTCACCTGAGGGATTCCTGTTGTAAACTAGAGAACGGGACTGAAATTCTGGTCCCTTCCACTATGCTTCATCGGTTAGGAAACAGGCACCCAGAATTCCTGATGTCTGCCCCATCCAACGATCCCGATTTAACAAAAACAGAGCGCTGCGAGGAAGGCATGGTACTAAGGGCTCTCGTGCTCCAACTTCCAACCTTTAGGAGCGGGGATAGGTTGGGCAGGGAGAAGGCCCCAGGTGTGGCCCTGGAGTCCACACTGAGCAGTGTAGGTGGGCGTGGGAAACAGATCAACCGCCAGAGAGGGACAGCGACAGAGGCGGGGCGCCTGGCCACTGCGGTCTCCAGAGCGGGTGGAACATTTGCAGCCGAGGACCACAAAGCAGGGAGATGTCCCAAGGACAGGAATTCCGGAGTGACAGTCTGCCCCGGGGCCCACAGGTGGTGGGAACACCCTCACCAGGCTCCCTGCCTCTTCCTGTGTAGCCAAGCCCCACACACCTGAGGCCGGGTTCCGGGGGAGGACTGGCAGGTACAGAGGGTAACTGTTCCCTCACCTGGCTCCCGTCCAGTGCCCTCCAGTGCCGAGAAATCAGGAGCTAGGCAAGACCTTGTTAACTCTTTTGTGACCAGAGGGCAAAAGAAGTCCCAAGGTGCCACTTGTCTCATCCCATTCCTCACCTTGACCTTAACCTCTCTACTTTGACAGAGCCCTACGTGAAAGGTGTGTTTGTGTTTGTTTCCAGTGGATGCATTTCCCGTGACCACTTAAAATTCACTCCCAATCAAGAAAAGAGGCATAGGTTTCCATAACTTAGAATCTCATCTGGAGGTGTTCTGACGTGTGACCCAGACATGATCTTTCCAATCAAAGGCCTGACTCATCATTACACGCAATCATCTGTTTTATTTTAAAACATGTCTATACTGCGTTGAGCACCAACACAGATGTGACCAAGAAACCCACAGTCCTGTCCCAGCAGGCGGCGGGTCCAGTGTGTGACTTGGGGCGGACGGTTATGGTTCACAGTGACAGAAAAAAAGAAAAGGGCAGGAAAGACAAAACGGACTTTGTCCTCAATTCCTGTTCAGGAATCTGAGCGAAAGAAAGAGAGGGATCCTTAAGCTCACAAAGCTCTTCAAAAGCCCCTTCTCTGAGTTAGCGGATGTTCAAATATAGACCCTGGGTTGATGGACCAGCCGGACTTGGTAACAGAAGAGCAAGCTGTTTAACATCTCCACGTTACTGCAAGAAAGAGGGAAATGGGCTGTGCTTTTTTAGTTTACTTTTTCGTACAAGTGGAGGGGATATCAGCCTTACACAACCACAATCGTGACAGACCATCTGGTCAGTATAAAAACTCTGCGTTTGGGAAAAAGATGTCACCTGACCTACGGGAAGAAATGGACTGAGCTGGATGGTGCCTACACCAGATGGCAGCTTGGGTTCCTTTACTTTAATGATCTTTTCAACGGTGACGCCACGGAAGGGTGTGGTATGTGTCGTGAAGACTGGGAATCTCATTTATTTTTACATCAAGCCCTTACATCCACCTGCTTCCTTAAAATTACTATCGTACGGGATTCTTCTCGTGTCCACATCGGTCCTCTGAGGCAGGAAGTAAAGGTTAGAAAATTGGCAGGTTCTGTTTCTCAGGCCAGAGGACGCACAGGGTTTCCTTCTGTTTCTTGGTTTCTGGAACACTTGAGCCTCAGGCACCATCGGGCCTCCAGCAGCCTCCTTGGCATCCAGGGCTCGGACTTCCCTATTCCCAATCCGGAGGACTTATGTCATGGAAAGAAAAAAGACTGCCCCAAGAGTCCTCGGCTCCTGGGCCCTCATCTGAGGGAAGAGGAAGCAGCAGGTAGGAGCAAACCTTTGAGTCACCAAGTCATCACTGGAGAAGGCAATAAGCAAGCCTAGAGCCTGCCTGATGACCTTATTGTGAGAAACACAGTCCCTTCTCCAAACCATAGACTTCCTGTTTATAATCTAAAATGGGTGTCTTTGAAATGACTTACCCTGGGCCAGTGAAAGGCAGTCGCTCATTACATGTTATACTAGGTTAGATTTCTACTTGATGATTCACATGAAATTTGAAAACGGGCCAGACTACCTTGGAATGTGTGTGTTTCAACTGATCAGAAATTGCAAAACGCTTTCACCATTTACGAATATAGCACTTGAGCCCAAGGGCTCCATTGGTATGAATATTTCCAGACTTGTTTGCCTTTTAACAATTACAGAGCATGGTCGGAATGAAGACCTGATTACAGTTTCTAACATCGATTAAATTATATCATCTTAGTTACAAATCAGTTTACGCCGTTTTGCTCCATTTTCTATGCACTCTGTCTTTTAAATCATCTGGTATGAAATTTATATTTAAAAAATTTTTCAAAAGGCAAATGCCTAGAGGAGCAAGTCGTTTGCATTGTCTTTCCTTGAGTTACTTTGGGTAAGCGGAGGGATCACCATGGATTTGGAGTGGGGTCGCCAAGCATTTCCATGGGTCATCTTCTTCCACGTGCCCCAGGATGGGGAAGTCGGAAACTCTCTTCTAAACATGTTGGCAGAAGGGCACAATTTTTCAGCTCTTTAGGGCCTGTGAAAACAAAGAGAAAGGTGGCTGTCACTTCTCTTACTGGCACGGTGAATAGTAATCCCATGAGTCATGGTCCTATTGTCCTCTTGTCTAAGACTCGCAGTTCTGGAACCTGGACCTCTTCTCCTTTCTCTGCTCATTCCTCCTGCATGCTTGGTCCTCACACGGCCAGGGGCAGACTTCCAGGCATTTCCAAGCACATAAATCTGTGATGCTATTGTGGGCTGTGTCCCTCAGCCCCCAGTTGTAGAACATTTGCCCTTTCTGCCACCCTCCACCCCATTATATAACATCTCCCTGACAGAAATAAGAAAAAGACTTCCTCTGGTTATGAGTTTGAATCTTCTGAGTTCTTATGGAATTTTCAGAGACAGAAAGCACTCCTTCCCCTCCTCAATGGTCAATTCTAGGAGTTCACTACATGTGTGTGGGTGTGTGCAGGGCAGAAGTGGAGGGAGGAGACCTCACTACCAGAAGAATTCTCATCAGAACGGTGACCTAGCTCTGCAATGAATGCTCTTCTGGAAACCACCCAACTCCCTCTGATGCCTGGGAGTGGGGAGATTAGGTATCAAGGTGAAACTTGGTTTGGGTTTTCTTTCAAGTTCAGTTAGTTGAAAAATTAGGACAAGAAGCCAGATTTGGTTAGAGCTCAATAGGAGTCAAATAAAAGCCATCTCTGGCTCTAACTCTCCCTCTCTCTCTCCCTCCCTCTCTCTCTCTCTTTTTTTTTTTCGAAACTTAGAAAGGCCAAGCAGTTACCTGTTTCTCCCAGGGAAACTTCAGATGTAGCCCTCACAGAGGTAAGGGGCTTCTGAAAAGGACTCTTTGCTTTTAAAGTAAACTCTATGCCCAACGCGGGGCTCAAACTCAAGATTATGAGATCAGCAGTTGCTTGTTCCTCTGACTGAAGCAGCCAGGCACCACTGAACCCGATTTCTGGAGGTTTCTATTGGCTCGAGGTTGGGGTTCTAGATATGACCACTCTCATTTATCTACCACATGGGTGTAATTTCTTTACTTACGAGTACCTTCCTGACATTTTTCGAGCAACCAAAATGATGATCCCACCAATGAATCCAATGGCTAGTAAGACTCCAACTATGATTCCAACCAGGGTCACTGTCGCCAGGCCATCTGATTGAGGAGGAAAAAAAAAGCATGAACCCCAGATAAATGATACACCTGTGTCATTTATAAACAATACCACTGTCCCACTAAAGACAGCAAATAATGTTCTAATTTGCTTCTCCTTATCCAGTAGGAGTTGACTTAGAAGAGATGAAACCTTGGGCTACTCTAATCCCATCTTATGAGTGGCAAGATTCCTGGGTCTCAGGATCTATCAAGCATATCACTCATACTGGGTGGCTTCACTGTTTATTATTAGGTAGTGTTTGCTGCTATTAAATTAGCCCCTACTTTTATTCTTAGTAACAATAAATTATATGACACCGTTCTCCATAGCTGTCATTAAGTGAGTAGACTCATTTGCGGTTTATTTTCAGATTCAGTAATTTTCTTTTCTCTCTTAAAAGAGGTTTGAAACCTGTTCTCAGAAGGTTCTGTATTGCACTCTTGTTGACTACAATCCAGGAAAGAATGTCATTCATCAAAAGATTAGCTTCAAAGAAACTTTTTTTTTTTAAACTCCCACAAAAATATTTTGATAACAAAATCTAGCTTACCTTTCTCAACTGTTGTCTCTGTGTCTTCACCTATTTTCTCTGGAAAGAAAGAGATGTAATGATACAGAATTATTAGGATTTAATAACTATAATTTAACAACTGGCAAAAGATTAATTTACTCTGAGTGGAAGGCAGCAAGGCACAAGTAAAGAGGATAATTTCTTAAATAAATTGGATCAGAGGATTTTTAAGCAAGCTCTGACATGATCCTATCTTCAAAAGTATTATTATTGAATTTATGAATGCTTCTTAACACCTATGGGCCCATAGCACTTTGGTGTATCTTTTTTCTCACCCACTTTAGAGAGCAGAGTCAAGGAAATTGACCCACAGAAATCTTACATAAATGGTCACAAAGTTTCAGAGGTTTCAATGACACAAGAAGCCAAGGCTGTTGATTCTATGGTCCAATGTCAAGACCGTAGAAAACTCATTCACAGTGATGAGTTTGATTTTGAAAGATTTTGTTTTAGAACAATATACTCTAGTTCTGGAAGATGGGCCCAGACAGTGATTTGTCTTACGTATCAGTTCCCTGCTTTTTCTTTAGTAGCAAAACCCACATCTTACAGGGCAGCAATATGCCCAGCTAAGTTTAATGAGGGAATATACCTTGGGGCACCTGGGTGGCTCAGTCAGTTAAGCACCTGACTTTTGGCTTAGGTCATGATCTTCTAGTTCATGAGTTCAAACCCCACGTTGGGCTCTGTACTGACAGCTCAGAGCCTGGAGCCTGCTTCAGAATCTGTGTCTCCCCTTTTTTTTCTGCCCCTCTCCTGCTCACGCTCTGTCTGTGTCTCTCAAAAATAAGCATTAAATTTTCTTTTTTTTAAATGAGGGAATATACCCTTTGTGTTTAGCCTCTGTTATTTTAGGATTTCTCTCTGTAGCCAAACCTAGTCCCATAGTTACAATGTGAATATTCTCATTAAGCTATCACATGGGTTTGAGTTATTAACTTAGAGCAAGTAAGTAATAAAGCTGCGAGTTTCTTTCAGATAATTTTACACAATGTCTATTTAAAAATATACGCTTTGGGTTTTATTTTTCCCATCACCCTGCTTGCACACTAAGTCCTTAACTCCTCTGGGTGGTGGTGATTTACCTAGTTTGCAGATGGAGAAAAAGTCAAGAGGCTTTGATTTAATGAAACAATAGAGAGACGTGGATCAATTAGGTGCCTCCCTAGGACTGTAGTTCACAACCTGCAAATACCGCAGATATCCAAGAGCTTTTCTAATCAAAGGGGAAAGCACCATCTGCAAGATGCTTACTTTTCCTAATGCTTGAATTTGAAAGAAGTCTTTGTACCAAGGCTCTCTTCCAAAAAAAAAAAAAAAAAAAAAAAAATGCACCTTTTCAAGATGGTCCCAGGATAAGAGTGTCTGAATCCAGCTCTGCCGGCTGGCATGAGCTGAACTCATAGCTGTGGAGCATTTACATGGAGCTCAAGCTGATGGTGCTATCCCACCTAAAAAGGGGGTGAGACTGTTGGGTCTGAGGCCAGCCCAGAACAAAGGTGTCATGGAATCACTCCTGAAAGGTCATCTTTGGTTGCCAACTACCAGTAGAAAAAAAGTCAACCATTCGCTTATCATGAACTAAACTGGTAGCTGCTGATTCCAGACTTACAACACATCCTCATCCATTGTGACACCGTTGGCCAGAAAACATATTACCAAAAATTCATGTGGAAGATTCGTTACCAAATTAAAGCTTATTAGTTCTATACTCCCTAGCTCCCACCCGGTGACGGTGGCTGCAGTCATGAGAATGTGTCATACATACATGTGAACGTCATCATACTTGGGTGTTTCGTGGGAAAGACATCTGCTGCCCTAATAAAATCAGCTCTTAAAAACCAAGTGCTTATAATTATATTTTAACTCACATGTGAAAATTTCTGGGATGCTGGTGTGTTATGGGGAAATGTGCAGTAAGTCACAGTTTTTGAGACAGGGTGGGGCAAGAGACAGGACAGGAGACTAATCATGAGTATTTTCCAGAGAACTGAGAATTTTGTTTTAAAGGAATGGGAGAGGTATCCTGGTATTATAGGAAGAAGGCTCCATTTTCTGCAGGTAATTAGCCGTCAACTCATTTACACGCAACTGATTCTCCAAAATTTTGAAATGTTTTCCAATGACCATATTGATGATTCTTTCCTCCCATACCCCTACTTGGTTCTATCTAGTGCTTAAATGGTAAGCGTTTTTTGGGGTGCCCTGGGTGGCTCAGTCGGTTGAGTGTACTACTTCAGCTCAGGTCAGGATTTCACAGCTGTGAGTTCAAGCCCCATGTCGGGCTCTGTGCTGACAGCTCGGAGCCTGGAGCCTGCTTCAGATTCTGTGTCTCCCTCTCTCTCTGCTCCTCCCCCACTCATGCTCTGTCTCTCTCTCAAAAATAAATAAACGTTAAAAAGAATAAATAGGGGCGCCTGGGTGGCGCAGTCGGTTAAGCGTCCGACTTCAGCCAGGTCACGATCTCGCGGTCCATGAGTTCGAGCCCCGTGTCGGGCTCTGGGCTGATGGCTTGGAGCCTGGAGCCTGTTTCCCATTCTGTGTCTCCCTCTCTCTCTGCCCCTCCCCCGTTCATGCTCTGTCTCTCTCTGTCCCAAAAATAAATAAACGTTGAAAAAAAAATTAAAAAAAAAAAAGAATAAATAAACGGTAAGCATTTCTTTAGCATCTCAGAGAGACTTTGTGGCTTTATTCCCAAAGTACTTCATACAGCTTTTTTCTTTCCTATCATGGTAAAATACACATAACATAAAACTATCCTCACCATCTTTAAATAGCCAGTTCAGTGCCATTAAACACATTCGCTCTTGTGCCACCACCACTGCCATCCATCTCCAGGACTCTTCCTATCTCACAAAACTGACACCCCATAGCCATTAAACCAACTCCTCACTCTCTCCTTCCCCCAAGCCCCTGGCAACCACCCTCCTACTTTCTGTCTCTATGAATTTGACTCTAGGCAGTCTAGTACTCATATAAGTGGAATCATACAGTGTTTGTCTTTAGGTGACTGGTATGTTCCAGTTAGCATAATGTCCTCAAGCTTCATCCATATTGTAGCATGTGTCAGAATTTTCTTCCTTTTAAAGGCTGAATGAATATTAGTTCATTAAATGTATATACCACATTTTGTGTATTTATTCATGTTGATGGACATCTGAGCTGCTCTCGTGTTCTAGCCATTGTGAATGATGCTGCTATGGACATTTGTGCACAAATATAAAGCAATTAAAAAAATCCTCAGAAGCATTATAGTTTTTAAAAACAGAATGGTGATAGGGTCTAGAAATGTATACTGAACAATAAAGAGTAATTTTCTGGGGCGCCTGGTGGCGCAGTCGGTTAAGCGTCCGACTTCGGCCAGGTCACGATCTCGCGGTCTGTGAGTTCGAGCCCCACGTCAGGCTCTGGGCTGATGGCTCGGAGCCTGGAGCCTGTTTCCGATTCTGTGTCTCCCTCTCTCTCTGCCCCTTCCCCGTTCATGCTCTGTCTCTCTCTGTCCCAAAAATAAATAAACGTTGAAAAAAAAATTAAGAAAAAAAAAGAGTAATTTTCTAGGTGTTCAGATGGGCAACTGATTGGAGGAACCATTAATTTAGGTAAGGTCTTTATGATGACTTTCATTTAAAGATGGAAACACTCATCTAGATAAAATAATTAGCAAACATTCAGTGCAATTATTGGAGGATCACTTTTTTCCCTCTCCCACCCCCATCTACTCCAAAAGAAATAAAGAAATAAAGAAAAAAATCTCAAATAGGAGCCCCTGCGTGGCTCAGTCAGTTGAGTGTCCAACTTTGGCTCAGGTCATGACCTCACAGTTCGGGATTCAAGCCCCTCGTTGGGCTCTGTGCTGACAGCTCAGAGCCTGGAGGCTGCTTCGGATTCTGTGTCTTCCCCTCTCTCTGACCCACCCCCACTCACACTCTGTCTCTCTGTCTCTCTCTCTCTCAAAGATAAATAAACATTAAAAAAAAATCCCAAACAACTGAATTTCTCCTAAAAAAGCTCTAGAAATAGGAGGCTTTTTCTTTCCATTGCTAAGTTGTAATGGCAATTATTTTTCCTCCTTCTCAGGAAGGATGGAAGGAAGGATGGAAGAATGGTCTATACCCATAATAATGGCCAAGACCCAAGACAGTGCTCCATTCACATTGCTGCAGGTGTCACCTATGAATCACAAGGACAGCCCCAAATCCTGGTAAGAGTGGTTACATAGGTTGCTTGGGTTTTCTGCTCCTGGGAGTCAATGGGAAGTTCTTAGTGTAACACTGTATCAAGTTACAGTCAGCAACATGACACTGGTAGCTAACTTGCCCCTTAGGGACATTTTCACTAGTTGTCATTCAAAGTGGAGAGCTGTGTTCAGCAACCCAATAAATCAGATGCACTTTAGCAACCCTATAAGTAGAATTCTGAAGCTAGCACATAAGACTTGGTTCAGAATTCACTCTTATGTTCCAATATATGCGCCACTAATCATTAGATTTGTTCATGGATATTGGAATGCACTGATCATGCAAAAGAAGATCAATACCTATTGGGGCGACTGATTTTCTTACCTATGGAGTGACTGGTCACCACATTCAAGGTTGTGGTGCTCTGGCTTTCTTCATTGGCATGGCCTGTACTTTGAGTTGGCCCATCCTCTATGTGAAAGTCTGTTATACTCTCTGTATTTGTTGGCACCTATTGGAGAAGTAAATGAGACAAAAGAGAAATAAAATCTAATGTTTTAAAATATATATTCAGCCTCATAACAGAAAAGGATTTAAAGGCATAAATATATAAAATATATGATGACTTAAATTTAAACAGGAAACAAGAAAACAAACAGAAATGACAGAGTGGGGATAGGAATAAAACCAAACGTACTCCACAAATAAATATCAAATGTTGACTCCATAGGGTCTTAATTCTTTTTTTTATTTTTTTTCAACGTTTATTGATTTTTGGGACAGAGAGAGACAGAGCATGAACGGGGGAGGGGCAGAGAGAGAGGGAGACACAGAATCCGAAACAGGCTCCAGGCTCTGAGCCATCAGCCCAGAGCCCGACGCGGGGCTCGAACTCACGGACCGCGAGATCGTGACCTGGCTGAAGTCGGACGCTTAACCGACTGCGCCACCCAGGCGCCCCCATAGGGTCTTAATTCTTTAGAAAATACCAGGTCACTAGGCTTTAATTCTTTATCTCCCTGAACTTAAATGGCATTTTTCCTTTATTTGGCACATAATATGTTGTATCCTCTTTCAATGCCCTCCCTCCTCCAATTAGAGTAATAACTGAATTTTATTGAGAGCTTACTATGTGCTAAGCCTTTTAAATACCTTCTCATTTATTCCACAAACAACCCTCTAAAGTCAATCCTAATGTTAGTCCTATAGTCTGGATGAGGCCATGAGAGATTAGACAACATGCCCAAACTCAGACAGCTAACAAGCAACAGAAGGTGACTTAGAAGTGATTCTGTTGACTTCAAAGTTCATGCCAATGTGGCATTGGACAAATAAGCTCGTCAGCACAGGCAACAAAAGCAAAATTAGATAAGTGGGACCCCATCAAACTTAAAAACTTCGTGCATTATAAGACACAATCAACAGAGTAAAAAAGCAATCTGTGGAATGGGAGAAAGTATTTACCAATAATATATCTGATAAGGGTATAAAGAACTCCTACCACTTAGCAACAAAGAATCAAATAACTTGACTCAAAAATGGGCAGAAGGGGGGCGCCTGGGTGGCGCAGTCGGTTAAGCGTCCGACTTCAGCTCAGGTCACGATCTCGCGGTCCGTGAGTTCGAGCCCCGCGTCGGGCTCTGGGCTGATGGCTCGGAGCCTGGAGCCTGTTTCCGATTCTGTGTCTCCCTCTCTCTCTGCCCCTCCCCCGTTCATGCTCTGTCTCCCTCTGTCCCAAAAATAAATAAACGTTGGGAAAAAAAAATTAAAAAAAAAATGGGCAGAAGGGCTCGCACAGACCTTTCCCCAGAAATGATAGACAGTGGTCAACAAGCATATGAAAGATGCTCAGTGTCTTAACATAAACATCAGAAAAAGGCAAATTAAAACCACCATGAGATGATCACCTCACTCCTGTCAAAAGAATGGTAAATAACGTACTGGCAAGAAGGTGGAGAAACTGAAATCATTGTATCCTGTTGGCGGGGATGTAAAATGGTGTAACTGCTATGGAAAACAAGATAGAGGTTCCTCCAAAAAAATTAAAAATAGAACTACCTTATGACCCATCAATCCCACTTCTGGGTGTATACCCGATTGAAAGCAAGATCTGGAAGAGGTGTTTCCACATCCATTTTTCATAGCAGCACTGTTCACAAGATCCAAGAGTTGGAAGCAACTCAAACATCCACTGACCAATGAACAGATGCACAAAATGTGGCACACACATACAATGGAATAATAATCAGCCTTGAAAACGAAGGACATTCTCACATGCACTACAGCATGGATAAATCCTAAGGACACTATGCAAAGTGAACTAAGCCAGTCATAAAGTATCCTTGCATGTGGTTGCATGGCTGTGGGGCAACTTCCTCTCTTCCTGGGACACTCTTCCTGGGACACTCACCAGACCTGTCGGGCCAGTAGACTCCTCAGGGTCTGCGCCGGCACCTGTGGTCACCACATTGTCTTCTGCACCTAGGGTCACCATGCCATCTTCCACACCTGGTGTCATAATGTCATCTTCTGGCCGGACCGTGCTAGCTAAAAAAGAAAGACTGGGTCAGGGCTTAAGGTAGAAATTGTGTGGGCAGACCTAACTGGCCAGCTACAATCAGATTATTTTCTTTACCATTTCTTTTGGGGATTGTTTTTGGGGGGAGGGTCATCTTTCCAGCTTACCACAAACCACTCTCCTTGCTGTACCTCTGTCACATACAAGGACCTGGTTGTCTCCATAGCAAGGTAAAGGGAGATAAAAATACAAAATGGTGAAGCCGCCAGCCCTTCCCCACTGCAGTAACAGGAGGGACATAAACCTTGCCTTTTCAGTAATGAACCAGGTTCTTCCTGGTGTCGTTTCATACAATGAACGAATGCATTCGGGTTGCTAGAATATCATTTAGACCTGGAAAAATTTTTAATTAGAGTCACGTGGAAAGACTTCTAAAAATACCAATTTGCAGGCTCTATCTTAGACATTCTGAATCATAATGTCCAGAAGGAGATCTCCATCCTTAAAATTCAAGCTTGCTTTCCATTTAATTTTGAGACTGCTGTCTCCTTGAATGAGGAGAACCATTACCTCTGACCACGGACCTCATAGGTGAGGTCAACTTCTTAGTTTATAGTTGAGGTTACTATCTACGGGAGATAGTAATGTATGTAACGTGCTGAGGTAGCCAATAGGATTCTTAGTGCACAGAGAGCTAAACTAATAAGGGACCTCGGTGCCCCAGGCTGGGGTTTTTCTGCTTTAACATTGAATGAATGACCCTGTTGTACAAACCAGAAAGGTTTTCAGAGGAACAGGGGATGGGTGGGGTGGGATAGCAGGTTGAATTCCACACAAAGGTGGGGTGGGGGAGTGGAACAGATAACAACAGTGGCCTTTTCTTTAACCTCTGTCTCAATGATCCAGACTAAATCACGACCAAGCAAGGGCATCACCTCAACTCATCAAATAACCCTTTTCATGAGTTAAAAATCTGACTCATTGGCCACGGGCTCCCTCCCCATACTCAGAGTGGCTCTGGAAATTCCATGACTAAATACAGTTGCAAACTAAGCAAACACATGTCCTAGGAGCAAGAGGGGCTGGGGTGCTTGGAGGCTTCTTTGTGTAATTAAAGAGTTGATGTTTGTATCCAGGCAGTGCTCAAGTTAGCAATCCAGACCTTGCCTTAAGATACCTTATTTCTCCCTATGCTTAGAGAGCCCAGCCAAAGGCACAGCTAATAAATATTTGATCATAACTTCTTTGCTGATGCATAGAGGTAGAAAGTCTCAAGAGTAAATTCGCTTGTTCTGTGAGCCTTCTCTTTGCATCTGGAGTCCTAATCCAGGGCTGTCTATCTATGGCTTTGGTTGAGCCCCCTAAGCATATACATTTATTTTTTCATCTGGGGGGGAAATGGCTTTCACCAGTTAGCAATAACTGAATACCTTCGTGCAAGCAGCCTCCCCTCCTGGCTGCTTGCTGGGGTGGGGGTGGGGCCAGCGATGGGATCCCACCAGGATTTATGACTCTGGTGGTAGACCAATGTTGAATGTAAGAGGGAGATATCCCTTTGCCAGGCAAGTTGTCCTTATTAAACACACACACACACACACGCGCGCACACACACACACACACACACACACACACACACACACACCCCTATACCCCTTTTCTTCCCCTCCAGGTTTGAACAGTTAACAAATCATGAATTTTACAAATGTTTTCTGGAGGCTGCTTAGCAAAACCATTTACTATATGGTACCTTCCAACTTTATAAAACAAAACACCCTTGCTTTAAAAAAAAAAAAAATCAAGTACTGAATGAAGTTGGTTTGAATTCTTTCATAGAAAGTTCAGCTCATTGAAAGCGTAACTTGATAAAAAATTCCTTCTTGTTCTTTTCTATTCTTGGCCCACAGAGCCAAGCACTAAAATTGCCCTGAATAGACAAAGGGCGTTTTATGAATGACACTCATGATTAAGATGCATGGCTTTTGTCTCACTGCCCTGGCATTCTTTTTGCTCCATGGGAAAGTTGATCTTTAACAAGGGATCTTCCATTGTCCCTCGTATTATTTTGGCGGAAGGCTTTCCTGGGTGAAGAGTTCCTACCAGCCCAGCTGCCACGTTTCCAGCCAGCGATTGATGCCCCTTTCCCTTCAACGGTGAAATTCAAATCGTGTCTTGATGCCCTTCATCTCGGATTCTTTTTCCTCCTAAGACACGTGTGTGCGCAGGCAATACCCACAGCTGTTTATATAAGCACAGTGAGGACTGTACAATCACAGGGTCAGTTCTGCTGCCATGTACCCTCATGATCTCACGATTCCAGCCTCACCCAGGTTCACCCAGCCTGGGGGTCAGAATCAATGGAAGTTTCCAAAGACGGTGGCAACCCATCCATTTGCTTTGGAATTTGTGCGTAGGTGTTATTCTTTCAAGAGCTCGGCCAAACTTTATATTACCTATGAGAAGATGTGATAAATCCATTTTACCTTGAGGTTCTTAAGCTTGAGAACAAGTAAGAACTGAAGAGATGTTTATTGGCTTGAAAGTGCTAATTATGAATCGCTTTTATCTTTGCATGGAAGCCCGACCTCTCCAAAGGAATTCTTCTAGTTTATATACACTTAGGGGAGGGCCTTTCATTTAAAATATCTTAGAATTTAGATGCAAGGTAAATCATGCTGCTACTGTAATAGTAATAGTCCCAAGTTCTTGGTCAAAATGTTTTAAATAAGTGTTTTCAATCTTCTGGTTTTATGGACATTCCTGATAAGTGGGGAGTTCTTCCATTTATCTGTTGGCCGTTAAACATATCTTCTCTTGTGGCCATTTTTCTCTTATGGCACTCATCTTTTTTACAGTTTTGTAAGTGTTCTTTATACCTTAGGAATACATCCTTTGGGGGTACCTGGTTGGCTCAGTTGGTAGATCTGGATCTCAGGGTCATGAGTTCGAGCCCCCTGCTGGAAGGAATATACTTTTTTTTTTTTTAAGGTACTATCTTTTTAACAAAAATGTTTATTTATTTATTTATTTTGAGAGAGAGAGTGCATGCATGTGTGTGCAAGTGGAGGAGGGGCAGAGAGAGAAGGAGAGAGAACCCCAAGCCAGCTCCACACTGTCAGCCCAGAGCCCTTATGGTTTTGTTCTTACACTTCATATTTCTATTTGCCTTGTGCTTCCTTTTGAAGTATGATGTAAAATGGGGACGTAATTTGATTTCCCCTGAAAGATGGGCCGTTTGTCCCAATAAACTGTCCTTCTCCCCCTGCTTCAAAACTAGCTCTCACTGACACAAAGGTCTTCTTTCAAGTACCATGTCATGGTCATGGGGGGAAGCTTTCAGTATAAGGACCAGCTGCAGTGGCTTGGGCACTGCCATCTGCCCCTTCTTCCATGCCACCCTCTGTCTTCAGATTCTTTCCAGAACCGATTCCGAAATCCGTGTTCCCCTTACCATCGGCTCCCCCTTCCTCCTCATATCAGCTAACCACTGCTGGATGAATTCAACGCCACGGGTGTAGGGGTGTAGAGAGTGAGGAGGAAGGGTAGACTACTTCAACAGAAGTTCATCGAGGTCTTTCCAAGTTGCATGTTCTACTTAACGTGGGAGGCCCAGCTTTATAACATCACCCTCCCCCCGCCCCCCCCACCACATTTGTGCAGCCACGTAGGGTTTATTTGTTTATTATCTTTCGGCTGACTTTATTCCAAAATGGCCTTGTGGGTGAGTTGCACTGGCATCATTGTCCCCTTTATCAGATGAAGAAAGTGAGGCCGACAAAGATCTCCCCTTGACCAAATTCTACTTAGGTGTCCCTACCCATCCTTGCAAGAGTCTTGTTTCTTTCTTTTTTTTTTTTTTTAACATTTATTTATTTTTGAGACAGAGAGAGACAGAGCATGAATGGGGGAGGGTCAGAGAGAAAGAGGGAGACACAGAATCCGAAGCAGGCTCCAGGCTCCGAGCTGTCAGCACAGAACCCGATGCGGGGCTCGAACTCACGGACCGCAAGATCATGACCTGAACCGCTTAACCGACTGAGCCACCCAGGCGCCCCGCAAAAGTCTTGTTTCAACAAGAGTCTGAAATCAGCTCCCAACTGACCCAGTTCCCCATCCCCCACCTTTGATGTCTAAGTGGTAGGCCTGCCTTGAGCAAGAATCCTGTCAGGCCAGATTAGCAAGAACCCCTTACCCTTGATGTGTCTTCTCCATGATTGGCCCTTCCCCAGCCCCCCCCCCCCCACATACTCTGCTCCTTGCTTATAAACCCCCAGCTACGTTTGCTGCATTTCGAGCCGAGCTCTATTTCTCACCCCCCTTGGGATAAGTCTTGAATAAAGTGTTCCACCTGTTTCAACAAGTGTCAGAATAATTGTCTAACACTGGAAATTAAATGGTTTGCCTCGTTCACCTGGTTGGTGAGCAGACACAAAGCCATGTGTTGGGACAGCTCATCCGTGTAGTAACCAACACAACAAAAGACATCTTTGTGCCACCGTGGCCGCGGTGGCCCAGAAAGCCCGCAGCCCCCCACCCTGGGTCCTGACGTCCTTCCTCTTCAGCCCCCATCCTCTCATAAATTATAATCCTGGTTGTCAGAAGCAACTGTTTCCTCTGGCATCACACATCCTCTTATGAAATCCCATCTGGTTGGAATCTTCCAGTTTGACTTGTGTAGGAACCAGAATCTCGGCTTCCTCAAATGAGTCCCTTCGAGGACTAAGTTTTCAGAAGTGGTATAGAAGGAAGGTGTGACCTGCTTTATAAGAGTGTGACTCTTTCAGCAGCTCTCCCTTGCTCTGCAAATGAAGGCGGCAGCAATGATCAGGACTGGAATCTTCCCAAGGCTCACCTGTATATCCCCAAATAGTCCATGTGTATCTACTACGTGTTGGGTCCCATTCTGGGTACTGGAGACAGAGGAGTGAACAAGGTGAGTTCTCTCATGGATTTGGGTACCATCGGCGGTGGTGGGGGGATACTTCCAACAAGCAACCAAGGGAAACCTCAAGATAGCTTTCTTCCACCCCCTTTAGATCCATCCTCAAAGGGCACTTTCTCGGGGAGGCCTTTTCCCATGACCGAAGTGAAATTCCCTCCCTCCACACACCCTCACACATATACCACAGTACTCAACCTCTCATGCTGTGTATCCACTAACTGGCTGTCCCACTAGAATACAAACTCAATGACGGCCGCTTACTTCAATGTCCCCCCTTGCCTAAAATATCTGGTACACAGGAGACACCCAGTAGGTGTTTGTTGAATGAACATGTGAACTGTGGACAGGAAGAGCCGGTCTAATCAACCTGGAAGCCGAGAGTGAGCCCGCGGCACCACTCACTGAAGAGACAGAGAGTGGTCAGTGGGGCTGGATGAGAAAGAAGCAAGACTGAGGAGGTGTGGAGGGCCAGTCGGGTGGGATTTTCCTTTCAATTGGAGGGTGAGGGGAAGTCAGAAGATGACGTTACTGGAGTCGGAATGCCATGTGAACGCTGGGGGTGGGGGCGGGGGTCTGTCAAGGATGGTGCTGGGATCTGGCTGAGGCAGGGAGACCACTCCGGCTACCCGGCTGTCCCGGCAGGAGCGGCTCACTGCTTGCACCAGAGCAAGGGGAGAAAAACAGACAGGTAACGGCCGGGACGTGTCTGAAGTCATCACCCACCAACGATCAGAAATAAACACAAAACATCGGAGCCAAGAATTCGTTTTAGCATCCGTGACAGCTGCGTTGAGAAACAGCATTCGGAGTGTGAATGGATGTACCGACTGTATGATGCTGAGTCTTTTACTGGACTTCCCCTTGTTTCGTTAGGAGAGCCACGGAAGTCCCCTCCCTAAGTTTAAGAGCCTCTGTCTGCTTGCCATGTCCGCAGGAGGGAGAAGCTCCCGCTGCCCTCTTTCTGCTGACCTGAAGCCTCAGAAGCAGACAGCTGGAGAAGCGGCCTCCACAGCATTTTATCTTGAAACAGGAAAGTTGATTTTAGCAATAAAGAAGTCACACGCTGAGCTAGCCCCGGGGTTTTTCAAAGAAAACCTGCGGTGTTCGCCAACAGATCAAGGCAGTCTTTCGTGGTCCCTGGTGTGTTCCATGTTGAGCTGTTCCAGCGTCTAAATGCACAAGTAAAGCCTTTGAAGATGGAGAAATACGTGGCCAGGGAATGGTTTTCGTGGCCACTGAGAAATAGAATGCCCTTTTTTTTTTTTTTTTCTTACATCCTAGGAAATTCTGGTTTTCCCCAGTAGGGTAATTACCAAGCGATTAATTCTAGCATTCCCCACTCCCTACTTCCATTTAGGATGCAGTAATGCTTTTAGAGAGAGGTCAAAACACCTACTTGGAAAACAAAGGCAAAAAAAAAAAAAAAAAAAGTCTGCTTCTGTTCCTTTGCCCAGACATAGGCCTCTGCATATCACTTTTCTATCATGTCTCAATACTGTGCTCCGAAGCCTGAAAATAAACACACCCAGAGCTGTGGAAAGGTGCCAACCTCCAACATTTTCTAGCACCCTGCAGACCACCCACAGTGATCCCCAGATACTCAGATCTTCATATGGTTCTTCATCTCAATTCAAACAGCCCCAATTTAGCTGTTTGATGTTATTCCCTTAGTTTCTGCTACCAGAAGAAAGGTGTTAGGACCTAGCTTTTTTTATTCACCACATCTTTTGAGTTACTCCTCCCGTCCTACGGGCCAGCCCATCCTCTGACCCTTGTGAAGGAGCCTTTCCTTGGAATATTGAAAACCGCTTGCTGACGCAGAGCTGTGCGCCTGTGCTCAGCTCCTGGCAGACACTGGGTTGTGGTCAGTATAATCACTGATGTGGCAATGGGTTCCCCCTCTAAGCCACCCTCTCCTTGGACCCTGGTAAAGTGCTTACTGGATCAAAAGTGTGGCCATGGAAAATCTAGGCAGCTCCTTGAAGGCTTGGCCCTGCCACTCGGTATCCCATGGTGATTTTCCTCCAGGTTGCACAGTGCTACTTAAAGTCCACACTGCCCCATGGTCCCAGTGCTTGGCACCGTGGTAAGCCTTTTGTAGATGTTTGTTGACCAACGGTTGGAAAGAGAACACTGACACCCAAGTAGGACGTTTCTTTTGAATTATCCCTTCCATGACAAAACCCTGCTACTGTCCACTGTGCTTCCCTCAAGAGTTGTTGAATACCTTCCCCCTTCCCCCGAACGTGGCTGATAATAGGACAATGCCCCTCCGAGGATGAGCTCTGTGGCTTTGCTGTTCAATCTGTGGTGAGCAGCAGCCTGCTGCTCGGTGTCTCACCCTGGCAGTCCCTGCAGGCCCAGACCAATGGCGAGGAGTGACCATCCACTGTTAGCACTGGGGACCCGTGCCTCCCCCGTGAAATTCAAGAGAGACGTGTCAAGGCTGAGATCAAATAGGTATCACTAGTTCCTCTGAAGAAATCAGAAGAAATGCCACACATCAAGATTTGGAGCAGAGTTCCTTGACTTTGGAGACGGGGCCCCACAATGCCCCCAAAAGAGGCAGAATTCTGAAGAGCTCTGTAGCGGAGCATGGGCAGTAAAAGAAGGGAGAGGGGGCCATGTGGCTGGGGACTCATGTTTCAATTCCATAGCAAGGGCTCACACCCAGTCACTGGCAGGTGAATAGAACAGAACATGCAGGCCATTAGACGTGACACCAGGCTCCCAGCCACCTGCCTTCTTTCTCTCACCTGATGGGGGAAGATCAGCTGAGACCCACTGTGTGCCCTTCACAAGTCTTCACAGTTAGTCTCCACGGCTATCTGAGAAGCAGGTATTTTGTTCTATTTATTTTTCAGTCCAGTGTAATTAACATATAGTGTTATATTAGCTTCAGGGGTACAATATAGTGATTCATAATTCTATACTTACTCCGTGCTCCTCACGATAAGGGTACCCTTAATCTCCCTCACTTAGTTCACCCATCTTCCCACCTACCTCCCCTCAACCATCCATGTGTTCTCTATAGTTAAGAGTTAAGAATTTGAGTTTATAGTTAAGAGTCTTTTGGTTTGTCTCTTTCTTTGTTTTGTTTCTTAAGTCCTACATAAGAGGGAAATCACATGGTATTTGTCTTTCTCTGACTTATTTCACTTAGCATTATACTCTCTAGATCCATCCGTGTTGTTGCAAATGGCAAGATTTCATTTTTTCAGGGCTGAGTAATACTCCATTGCATATATACACCACATCTTCTTTGTCCATTCATCTATGGATGGACCCTTGGGCTGCTTCCATATCTGGGCTGTTGTAAATAATGTTGCGATACACATAGTAGTGCATGTATCTTTTCGAATTAGTGTTTTCATTGTCTTTGGATAAATACCCAGGAGCGGAATTATGGGATCATAAGGCAGTTCTGTTTTTAACTTTTTGAGGAACCCTCCACACTGTTTTCCACAGTGGCCGCACCAGTCTGCACTTCCAAGGAGGTAGGTATTGTAATAATGGCTGCTATTTTTGAATTTAGGGGAAAATGTACAAACGGTGGTGCCCAGCACTCTCTCCTGATCTTTACAAAAGCCTTGCAAACGAATGTCATTCTCATTTTGAAGCTGAGGACGGTGACCCTGAGAGTAAACTGCCCATGTAGCCAGCAAGTGGTGACACAGGGATTAGACATCAGATCTGTCAGACTCCAAGCCCCGCTTGAGCCACCGTCTCACACAGCCCCCATGTATCCTGGTTACTTTCCTGCAGCTCCCCTCATCTTCCCTCTACTTCACGTGGCAAGGACTGGGGTGGCACTGAAGCAGCTCCCTGGGCGTCTGGATGCCAAGGGCACCCGAAGTTTCATCTTCTGACTGCACCGTCATCTAAACCCCACCTACTCTTCTACCTGGCCCCGGTGCGAGACTCCTTCCCTTAGAGCCTTCCCAAGGTGACAAGAGAAAGTAATTCCTCTGAACTGGCACAGGATAACACCCACACTGGCTACTTTTTCTCTGTTAGTATCTATAAGCTTCCTGAGGGCAACACCCCCTTCTGCTGGAGGTTTGCAGCCTCCCACCCACCAGCGTGGCCTCTGTGAGCTGAATGAATACATGAATATTCATCCCCCCCTTTTCAGTGTTCACATTTCAACTTACCCACTGACGGCGGGGGGGGCGGGGCTGACCCTCGGGGCCACAAACAGGGCCCAGGACTCCTCCAGCGTTAAAACTGGATGCTGTTGGTTGCAACCTCAACCAAGATTACTCAGCCCGGGGAGAGGTTTTCTCTGTTGACCAAGAGCAGAATGTTCTCTGTAAAAGAGGAAATGAGTTCAGCTTGGTAAACTGGAATCAACACCTCCGTAATAACTTTTCTGGAACTAGCTGGGTCTGGCGTCCCGTTAGAAAGGCCACCTCATAGTGAGGACTGTTGAGTACTTGAAAAACCAAATGACTAAAAAACCTGCTTTAGAAGTCATGCCCCGGAGCAGTGCATCTCAACCACGTGGTGGACCATTTGGGAAACACTCGCCATCTGCTCGGAAACTGAGCTTCTGATTCATTCAAGGCTGTCAGCTGAGCAAGCCCTGATTTTGCAAGAGTAAAAAGAGAAGCCCCTTTAGATCTGACCTCACCATCTACCCATGCAGCTTGCAGACAGCCCAGCTGTGCAGCCAGGAGGATGAGGCCTTGCAGGAATGTGCAGAATGTGGCTGTGTTTCCATTAGCTGCCCTCGGCCTTGATCCTGAGCCTGGCTGGGGAGTCTGAAGTATGCTTCGGTAGATTATTAAAAATAATTGTTCTCAGCTGGTGGGGGGGGGGCACTCTCTTCTGACCCTCCTTGCCACCTTTCTCCCCTTGTTCTGATGAATGGGGAGGCGTTCAGGCAGCAAACTGTGTGTCCAGGGTTTAGTTCTGATGCCATTTTGATGATCTCCCCAGGTACCCATCAGATACATCAAACTGGATGTCCTACTATTACCTCAAAGTCACTGCGTCTAAAACAGAGTACACAAACTTGAACTCCTTCTTATAACATTGGTTCCAAACTTATCAACCCTCCAACCTGCTTTTTTTTGTATTTCTATCACCTGCCTCCTTGTCATTTCTGCCCAAAGTTTGGATCACTGTGTTTCCTCCCTCTTCCTCCTGACAAATGTTTACGATGCACCAACCATATGTTTTTTTAAGTGCTGAGTAAGGCATGGGTCCTGCTCTCTTCTCTAACGGGCAAGAGGTGTATACAAGTAACTAAAATACAGTGATAAGAATAGTCAAAGCAATCTTGAGAAAAAAAAAAAAAAATCAAAGGAGGCAGACTCACACTTCCCAACTTCAAAACTTACTACCAAACTGCAGTAATCAGGACTGTGTGGCATTGGCGTAAGGACAGATGTACACAACAATGGAGTAGAATTGAGGGTCCAGAAAGAAATCCATCCATTTATGGTCAATTGATTTTTGACAAAGGTGCCTGAGTAACTCAATGGGGGAAAGAATTGCCTTTTCAACAAATGGTTCTGGGACATCTGGACAACCACATGCAAAAGAACAGAGTAGGATCTCTACTTCGTATCACATATAAAAAGTAACTCCAAATGAGCCAAAACCCTAAATTTAAGATCTTAAACTGTGCAACTATTGGAGGTAAAAATAAGAGTAAACCTCTGTGACCTTGGATGAAGCAATGGGTTTTTAGACATGACACCAACAACATAAGCAATAAAAGAAAAGCGAGATAAATGGGACTGCATCACAAATTTTAAAACTTGTGCTTCAATGGACACCATCAAGAAATTGAGGGGCGCCTGGGTGGCGCAGTCGGTTAAGCGTCCGACTTCAGCCAGGTCACGATCTCGCGAGATCTCGCGTGATCTCGCATGAGTTCGAGCCCCGCGTCGGGCT